CCCTTATATCCCGTATTTTCTTGTTGGGGGTCAACCTGACACGAACGCTCATGTATGCTCCCCTCCCGGAGTCATCGAACACCCCAGGTGGGTGGTGAAACACAATCACATCGATCCACGAGTTGCTCAAACGCACTGTTGCCCTGCTATCAACGTTGTCTTCAATGAGTTCCCAGTCGCCTCCATTGCGAGGTCGACACCATGTAGATCGCTTCCAGTGCTTGATGCCATTCGAGACCTTGACAATCCGATTTGGCCGGATATGATCTCGAATCAGGACGTTCATGCGAACTCCTTCCACCAGTGGGTCTTCTCCATCTTTGCAAATCCAAAAGAGCCGATCCCTGTTACCCTCACGGATGCAAAAAGACACAACTTCGCTAAGGAGCTCGCCGTCCAATGTCTTCACTGACACGTTCTTGTTGTCAAACGGTCCATCTGATGCCAAATTGTTTCGGATCAGTCGCTCAAGTTCATCGCGATCATTGGGAGGCTCTCGAGATCGTTGTGGCAACGTTGAAGTTCGAGGTCCATCCATGGCCCCTGAAGATCGGGATCCGTCATCGGTCCCTGGCACGTCCGAAATGTGCGGTGGAGGATGATCTGGGCTCCTGGGAGCTGGCCTCGCAGATAGTGGCCTCGGCGATGGACTTCTTCCCCTGGATGCTTGTGCATGTCTCCAAGGAGGTAACTTGCGACGAAAACTTGGTGATCTTCTGCGCCTTGCTGGTGGCGACGGTGGCGTCGGCAATCTCCGTCGACGCAATGGACTCCTTGATCTCCTTCCGGTCTCGGCCATCCTTTTGATCTCAACCTGTTCTGTCCTAAGATGTCCAACATCTGTTGCAAGCCCTTGTACCAAACGTCGAATCTCATCAAGTTGATCTGATGTAGGATGTCCTGCAGTGGGGTGATCTGATGTAGGATGAGATGAATGTCCACCTGAAACATCATCGGCTGGAGCATCGCGCACGTCACGGCTTGAAGCCACATTGCCTCGTGATCGTGCCAACCTTGACATGTTCGGGATCAAATGTCGAATTTGTCCCAAGCTCGCAGCCATGTCCTTACATCCATGACAAACTCCACCACAACGCATCTCTCCCCACATCCAGGATGATGCATGAATGAGAACAACGTCATAACCAAGGACTCTGAGACACCTGTAGGCAGCAAATCCTTGTCCCACTGACCTGTGGCGACCTGACTTGCACTCCAAGTCCACCAGCACCTTACTGTCGGCTTCCTGCTGTGTGACGAACTGGAGGATGTTGTTGAGATGTTGGATGAACCTGTCTACTTTGCTCATAGTCTCAAGGATCCCATGATGCCAACCCACATGCGACCTGAGGTTAACGTCCTGATCAGGATCGTTAATGTCCTCACAGTTGATGCTCAAAGTGCTCCTGCTGGTTCTGCACGCATGTTGTTGAAATCTACGTCCACGAGTCATGATGACCACCTTCCTGTCACTGCGCAGTTCTTCATTCAACTTCGTCTGCAAGATGTCGTAGTCCCTCGAATGAAAACCACACATGTCATGGTCAGCCATGGCAACTTCCGATGTGGATGCCGTGTATGCGATGTTGTACTTTCTGTGACACTTCGGGATTTGGGGAAGTTCATCCGACGGTGTGTTGTTGATGTTGGTCAATCCTTCAGTCAAGTTCATCACAAGTAAACCTGATTTGGAACATCTCTTGATATTCAATGGTTGATCTTTGATGGAAATCACCCCTTTTGCTAGGTCCTTCACTAGGCCTAACTTGGTTTGCGCATGCAATGAAAGAAGCAATGGGCTGTTGCCTGTTGACAATTGATATGAATCCAACTCCCCATGCATGTTCCCGTCTGGAAGCAGCAGCGAAAAAGGAATAGATCTCACACCTTCGGTCTTGGTACTACCACTTCCCAGACCAGCAAAACTCTTACAACCGTCATCCTTCAATGGCATGCTGTAACCCAATCGGGCCAGTCGTGCTTCTGCATCGACTGCCCAGGCTTTGCTATGACAAGTGCTGTTGCAACCTTCATCCAATACTGCAAAAACATGGGGTGACTTGGCAATGTCAACAGTTTCATAGTTCATGTAAACCAAGTCTTGAGGGTATTGAGTGTCACTTCCATGCAAACAAATGCCAACGTACCCAGCTAACTCCCTGCCCGAGGGGTCGCCGTGCGCATCTTCATTGACAAGTGAAAAACTGTCCTCTTCCTCTGTCACGTCATTGATGGCTTGATGCAGTAGTTCATGAAGTCGTGCACGGGTCATCACCTCAGATTGGCAGGTTTCGGTAACAAGAGTGGCAAACAAGGGTAACAACTCTTCCAACTGGACTGGATTCAATCCATCCGATTCTTCAACCAATGATTCAACAATGGGGACTGTTCGAACTGATGCTGTTTCAACCTTCTTGGCAATGGCAACACGCTCCTTGCGAATCTGCATAGGAGCTTCATCAATGAAAGTGCAACACTTCTTGCAGAAAGTACGGTGTGTTGATTTGCTGGATCCCCTAAAATCGGTGTCATCATGAGGGCAATTCTCAGGGGACATCAACGGTACCATGTCACGCCTTGTTGTTTCGGAATGACCGCACACAAGGCAGGTCTTCCTGATGGTGTACCCCGTAGAACCTTGTTTTGTAAACTCACGGCATTCCTGACACTTGTTCGGCAAAGGAGGATTTGGGGGTTTCTTTCTGCCAGTTCCCCGAGCCACCAACAAATCTCGGTGCTCGACACGCTCAACAGGGACTTCGCGCAAGTGAATCCCATCAGCACCAACCACAAAGTACTTGTCAACCCAATTCAACCATGTGACATAGTATGGACTCTTGGGGGTATGTTTCTTGGCATGATGATAGTACCCTGTCTGTTCAAACAACACATTCCAAAAAGACAAACCCTTGAACTGTCCAACAGGAAAGATGCACCCATGGTCCTCGGGTCTCATTGTAACATCGAGATCCCGGGAAATCAAGCCAACGTTGCTGCTGGATGCTGCTGCACGTGAAGGTCGACTGCTGGGCTTCGCTTGTCGAACTGCCATCATAGCAACTCCATCTCTGTCACGATCAGGTGAAGCTGTCAAAGTCACACCATCGTCATCTGAAGAATCGCTCATGTCGGCAAAGTGAGCTGCGGGCTTTGGAGCTGACTTTCCAGGGGCTCCGGCTTTCGACCCCGGGAATTTACATTCCGGGTCACCGGCCCAGTGCCCTATGACTCCGCATCTCAAACATTTGCTCTTCGACTTCAGCTCTGTGAGCTTACGTCTCCTCTGATCGATAGTGAGGTTGGACTTCACGATCTTTCCTTTGCCTTTTCCTTTGGGCTTCCCGAAGGATTTGCCCTTGCCACCTGCTTTCCCCATTGCGGTGAAAGCAGCAAGTTGTAGCTGGATAGCGTCTCCTGCCTGTCGATCATCTTCTGCACCTTCAACTTCAAGCAAACTGTTCAATGCAACTGCTTCGTACTCATCGACGTCGTCAAAGTAATCAAATTCGTTGTCACCTTCTAGGTTTCCTGGCTCCTCTTCTGCAATGTCACCAAGGATGCCAACATATGAATCATCCTCCCAGGATTGATTCGCAGTTTCATCCCAAGATTCTGCATGTTCCTCCCCATCATCGGGGTAGGCTGCATAGGCTGCTTGGGAATACGATCCCTTCGAAGAAGGTTTGCCTTTGCCATAACCCTTGCCTGACGACTTGCCATGCTGTTGAGGATTACCACGTCCTGTCCAGGATCGTGACCCTTCTCGCAAGTGAGTGCCACTGTAGTTCTCGATCAGCACCTTGCCAACACCTTCAAAATCTTTAGTGTCTGCACAGGCCTTCACAACGAGGATCTCCTGTCGATTGAGCCCACTCAACTCCAACATCAACTCTGTCCTCAAGCTGTCCGAAAACACCATTGTGTCATCCAACTCGCATAGCATGTGCCACCAACGTCGTCTCCTCTGAACATAGGAAAGCATGGGTTCGCCTGGTTGGCGAGACAAAGGACCACCTTGCTTCTGTCCTGCTCGAAATAATTCCTTGGCTTCCTCACGGGCTCTTGGAAACACATGGGATTTGATCTCACCCACAAGTTTCACAAGGCCACCAGGTTTGGACAACACTTCAAGTCCAAGATCCCTAGCTATTGAGAAAGCATCTCCTCTCAGTCCTTCAATCACCTTGTTGACCAATGGTCCACGGTCAATGTCTGTCTTCTGCTTGCCGGACTTCGAGGATTTTCGGCTCGCTCCAGACTTCGGAGTCGAGACTGCTGATGTAGGCTGGGCTGCTTGAGTAGCACCCGACAAATCTGGAAAAGTAACATACTCATCTGCGTCTTCTGCGGCAGGCTCTGTTGCTGTGGTCCCAACGGGATCCGCAGGCTTACTTGTCTCCTCCTCCAATTGTTGCTCATAAAGACGAATCCGAAGGAGAGTCCTGAACTGCCAATCATGAAAGTTCGCCGCATCACCTGCATAGATGTATGATCCACTCTTCGTCTCAAGTGGTGCCGACGAATGGCGTTCCTGATTGAAACGAAGGCCATTGATCGACATGATGCTCGCTCCGTTCGGAGTCGAACAAGGAAAAACGTTAACAAGTGTCTGCCCTGGTCAGGGTCAGACAGATTCCCGAACCACGACACACTCGAAGTTCAGTTGATTCCCAAAGTTACCAGACTCAAATTCACAAAGGGTTCCCTGGGTCACTGACGTACCACCGGATGCAGGTCGTCACCTGCTCCGCTACCAATATGAATTGGAAACGGGATCGTCAAATGCCCAACTTTTACCACGGCAGCGCGGTATGACTTAAGGGCCCTAAAGCCAAATGTCAACGGGGCATGTGATCACTTGGCTATACAAAATATACATTAGACAGGTCAAACTCACACCTTTGTTTTCGATTAAGATTGCCATTTTATGGAGCATACCCCACCAGATCCGTTTGAAATCTCCCTGAGCCCCTAAGCGCCAGATCCTGCAGCCAGGGCACCAATCACTGCATTAAGAATTGCACCATTTTCCACTCCAGCGTCTTCCAGGGTTCCATCTGGCAGTGGATAGTTTTCCTTGAGAAGGGTTCGGACCTTGGAACAATTCAAGTAAGCTCCTCTGCGAGGTCGCACATTTCAAAAATTAAAGGACCGGATAACCCCACATGTTACCAACTTCTTTAGACTTAGACTGAGCAGAGAAAGCGAGAAGGGAAGAGGAAGTATGAGAGTGATGGAGGGACGATGGTGGTATGTATGTAGGTATGTATGTAGGTAGGTGAGTTTGTGTGTGTGTGTGTGTGGGGAACAAACTGTTGGTGTGCCTGACATATTGAACACCATATTATGTTTAACACACATTCAAAACAACCTCAGGCCAGCACCTCGCAACCCAAGACCTTGGCTCTGGCTCCTTATCAAAACGATGGTGTGCCTCAGGCCAGCACCTCGCAACCCAAGACCTTGGCTCCTAAGGCGCTTGCGTTATGCATTCTGGCGCTTGTGTTGTGTTTCTCTGCTGTTGACCGAACCAGGCTTTGGCTCCTTATCAAAACGATGGTGTGCTCACCATACTTTCGCTGACCAAAGTAATGTTCTGCACTCTTTCGAGCGCAGCCGCACATTTTGTGAATTCTTTCTGCATGCCCTGTGGCTGGTAAACATCGCTGGCACATGATGATGATGATGATGATGATGATGATGATCATGATCATGATGATGATGATGATGATGATGATGTCTCCGACTGACTGCTGCGGAACAAACATCAGTTCACATCGGTTCGTCCAATTTCTTAAAAAAAAAACTCATCGTCAAAACTCCCGGAACTGGAGCTGCAGCCCAGAGGCAAGAGCCTGCCTTGGAGTAGTTGCTCACGGAGGTGCTGAGTCAGGCGACGAACCGACCTGCCCCCCGCCAAGGTGGGGGAACCATCCTAGCCGTTAGCCATTGTCCCACGCCTGCCACGCAAAAGCGGCGGAGACCAAGGGACACCGGAGGGACGCCAGGGCGTACATCCGACCCCTTGGCAGTGCACATTGTCCCACGCCTGCCACGCAAAAGCGGCGGAAACCAAGGGACACCGGAGGGACGCCAGGGCGTACATCCGACCCCTTGGCAGTGCACATTATCCCACGCCTGCCACGCAAAAGCGGCGGAGACCAAGGGACACCGGAGGGACGCCAGGGCGTACATCCGACCCCTTGGCAGTGCACATTGTCCCACGCCTGCCACGCAAAAGCGGCGGAGACCAAGGGACACCGGAGGGACGCCAGGGCGTATATCCGACCCCTTGGCAGTGCACATTGTCCCACGCCTGCCACGCAAAAGCGGCGGAGACCAAGGGACACCGGAGGGACGCCAGGGCGTACATCCGACCCCTTGGCAGTGCACATTGTCCCACGCCTGCCACGCAAAAGCGGCGGAGACCAAGGGACACCGGAGGGACGCCAGGGCGTACATCCGACCCCTTGGCAGTGCACATTGTGCCACGCCTGCCACGCAAAAGCGGCGGAGACCAAGCCAGGGCGTACATCCGACCCCTTGGCAGTGAGTGAGTGAGTGAGTGAGTGAGTGAGTGAGTGAGTGAGTGTGAGATGAGATGGAGTGAGTGTGAGATGAGATGAAGTGAGTGTGAGATGAGATGAGGTGAGTGTGAGATGAGATGAGGTGAGTGTGAGATGAGATGAGATGAGATGAGATGAGATGAGATGAGATGAGATGAGATGAGATGAGATGAGATGAGTGGAGATGAGATGAGTGGAGATGAGTGAGTGGAGATGAGTGAGTGGAGATGAGTGAGTGGAGATGAGTGAGTGGAGATGAGTGAGTGGAGGTGAGTGAGTGGAGGTGAGTGAGTGGAGGTGAGTGAGTGGAGTGAGTGGAGTGAGTGGAGTGAGTGGAGTGAGTGGAGTGAGTGGAGTGAGTGGAGTGAGTGGAGTGAGTGGGGTGAGTGGAGTGAGTGGGGTGAGTGGAGTGAGTGGAGTGAGTGGAGTGGGTGGAGTGAGTGGAGTGGGTGGAGTGGGTGGAGTGGGTGGAGTGGGTGGAGTGGGTGGAGTGAGTGGAGTGAGTGGAGTGAGTGGAGTGAGTGGAGTGAGTGGAGTGAGTGGAGTGAGTGGAGTGAGTGGAGTGAGTGGAGTGAGTGGAGTGAGTGGAGTGAGTGGAGTGAGTGGAGTGAGTGGAGTGAGTGGAGTGAGTGGAGTGAGTGAGTGGAGTGAGTGAGTGAGTGGAGTGAGTGAGTTGAGTGAGTGAGTTGAGTGAGTGAGTTGAGTGAGTGAGTTGAGTGAGTGAGTTGAGTGAGTGAGTTGAGTGGAGTGAGTGAGTGGAGTGAGTGAGTGGAGTGAGTGAGTGGAGGAGTGAGTGAGTGAGTGAGTGAGTGAGTGAGTGAGTGAGTGAGTGAGTGAGTGAGTGAGTGAGTGAGTGATGAGTGATGAGTGAGTGAGTGAGTGAGTGAGGCGGGAGGCGAGGCGGCGGCAGGAGGAGGAAGAGGAGCGGATACAGAACTAAAAACAAAAACCCCACACGTCAATGTGGGGAATTAACCTACTCCAGCCAGTTGGATTGCCATCAGAATCTTAGAATCTCCTGGATAAAGCCATCCCAAATCCACAAAAAAAAACTGAGTCCGCAGAGCTTGGGATCCCTGGCCACCTTTCCAGGCTCCAACTTCTTCCTCAGTTCCTCCTTCAAGTCTTCAACGCTGCCCTTACTCGACCTTTCAGCGAAGCGGATCATCCATTGCTAGTTATTCATCAAGCCTTAAAAAATAAATGATGACACTAAGCCACAGTCAAGCTGGACGACTTTATAAATCTATAAAATCAACAAAAACAACTGTGAAAACTAAGCCAGTAACTATTGATCCCAAGTTTCTATGGCTTAGTGATTTGAACATATTAAAACTATAGAAACTAATCAAGCTAAACTACGAGGCACCAACTATGACTGCCAGTTACATCCAGTTCCTATGGTTACTATGGTTGTAAATCAATTTACTCTCCGGTCAATTAACATAGCTATTGAAAAATCATCATTTTTGTCATCATCTATTGATGGGCCTTCTTCCATGGCGATGTTAAACAACCAGAGGGTGTATCCCACTAAAGTTCCATTAAAATCCCATGAAAACTCTCATTAAAATCCCATTCAATCACTACGAAATCCATCAAAATCCCATGAATATCATAGCCCCCACCTAGGAGAAACCAGTGCCTATGGTTTCCGAACCCCCACGGATGCCACGTCAAGATGCCACGTCAGCGAGGCCAACTCCGCGCCGGAGGCGGCGTAGTTCACCTTCAGCACCAGGCTCGCAGCCGAGACCTGGCTGGGGGTGGTGTATGATGTTGGTTTTATGATAGATATTTAATATACATATTACATATTACATATCTATTATATATATATATTTATTATATATATATATATATTATATATATATAGTCTTCTATTGCTACATTATGATGTATAGTCATATTCAGTAATATTATATATCTCATATTGTAATTTCCATTGTAAAAGTAGCTAGACTCCACGGCTCACAGCCCCAGCCTTGGCAGCTTTCGGGGAGGCACCTGCAGCTGGATGTGGCCAGTTTTATGTTGGGAAAATGATGATTAACCAGGGATTTTGGGGCTTTCCTCCGTTTTCCTCTCATGTTTCAGACCCAAATCCAGCTCCTGCGGAAAATTGAAATGGAAGGGTGAAAAGTTTGCGGCTTTGGAATTCAAGACATTAATATGTCAACTTCTATACAACATGCCCCCCGTACCCTGGCCTTCAGCTGGCCCCTCCGGTGCTGTTCGTTTCTCACCTCCAAGTAAGGCGCGTACAGCAGCGTTCTTGGTCACCTGATCGTTGCTACGCTGGAGGGGGTATGCATCGCTGTTTCTATATACCACAGCAGAACCCCAAAAATCATCATCCGCCTGCAACGGCGTTCGTCCGTCTTTGGTCTTTAGTGTCTTGTCCGCCCCTCTCTCCAAGAGGAAGCTCACGGCTGCCTCGTCACCTGCCAGGAAATTCGGAAGCTCATCCCTCGTGCCCTGGGCATGTGGCTAAAGCCTTACTATACCCAAGTGAAGACCCCCTGAAAATAGACATTAGATAAAAAGGGTGCAATGCGTTGCCCCTGTTATGTTTGTTGGTTTATAACCCCCTTAACTCTAGATATCTCATGATATATCTACCATAAACATCCATAAACATCCATAAACATCCATAAACCCTAGATGCCTTGGCTATTGTGTTCTGCTTTTTTACTTCTTCACCTACCCAGCCCATCCCAACAAACCCAACCTGCTTCCGCCGCTTGATGCAGCGCCGACCACCGCATGGCTGGCTGCACATTCACCAAGCCGGGTGAAGCCTCGGAAATCCCGGTGAAGCCTCGCAATAAGGTGATCTATTCTCTGAAAATGCGGTCCGTTATTGGTTGTTATCCATGGTATTTCCACATGTCAGAAATTAGAGTTCCACCAGACATTCTTAGAGTATATCGGAGTATATACTAAGAGAGGCGATTGCCATGACAACAAGGAGAAAATACGTACAGAGGTTTTCCAATGAAGAAATCATAATGATTTCTGAACCTTCAATCCCTGGTTCTCCACAACTGGTGCTTCCCGGGACTTCCAGCGCAGCAGTCAGCAGCTAAGGGACTTCCAGCATCTCTCGAACTGCAACGAAGTTGTATTGTTTCGCCTCGCAGGTGCAATGATGTTTCCTGTGCCATTGGGCCATCAGAAAAATCCACGAAAATGTTGGCACTCCTAAATCCTGCATATGTAATATCTATACTATATGCAGATATATTATATAATGAAGTTACTATAAAATACCTTTCTTACTTCTTCAACTTATTCATACCCAGTTGGAAACAGCAAATTCCTCCCCCCATCTGCCTGGTCCAAAAACAAATGCTGCTGGGGCAGAGGGATGTCCCCGTCATCCGCGACATCCATTTCATCCATGGCTGGCCGGCTGGTGGCGAATCCAACCGCCGACCTTGTGCCGATTCCCAGGGAAGTTGCTGGAAAAAACTTGGGAACAGATGGGAACAAAGAAAGTTCTGATGAGATCTAATAAGATCTAAGAACCCAATACGATCAACAAGTACCTTGCATTGAGCTCATCAATTTCTGAATCCCATAGAATAGAATTATTGTTAGGTTAGCATCAAAACATATCAAAAGATCCATTTTCTGCTGTCAAGAACTCTGCCCTATGCAATTTGGTCATCTCACAACAACTGCATTCGCTCCTTCAAATCCTCGATCTGGACGGTCGGGCACAGTCGCCCAGGGTGCTTTTGCTTCACGGAATGTTGGGTGTTTAAAAGAAATAACTTAACTTCACTATGATAGCTATGATAGCTGGAAAATGCTGGAAGGTATCCTTTCCAACTCTTTTGGAAAAACTACTCTTGAAAGTACAGATGCGCACGGCGCTTCCGATTCCAAGGAGAGTTGCAAACCTACAGAAAGCCGAGCATGGGGAACAATGCAGTTCAACCATGTTGATGGACGATTGCTGAACGGTGTGCTGATGTGATGCTGTCGATGAAACAGCTGCGCATCGCTCGCTTAGAAACAGCACAACTTAAACAGAAGCAAACCTGTCTGTGTCTGAATCTTGACTTAAACAGAAATGTGCAAAGCGGCCTAGGCCAACACAGCTCCTTTTCCAAGATTGCTTTCAAGAGAGTTCGGTCTAATGCCGTAGTGGCTTCACATTCAAAAGCTTTGCCGAAGTGAAAGCTTCAGGCGTCCGAAAAATAGAAAACAGATATGATATGCCCCTCAGGCCTAGTGATTTAATGGTGACGGCTCAGTGGCTCAGCGAGCAAAGCCGTCCTGGCCATCCTCCTTCATTTCAGCGCCCTTGTAGACGTAGCCTGGGATGGAGTTGAACTGGACCGCAAGTGGTGCTGCAGCAGGCTCTGCAAGTCGTCCTCCCTGCTTCTCCAGTGCCAAAGCAGTCGACTTTGAGAAACGTGGGTCAGCCACCTCATCATCCAACAAGTCCATGATCTTGCCGAAGTCCTCAGTCAGCATGTTCTGGCCGTTGATGGAGGCCACCACCCAACCACTTTGCACACCGGAAGCAAAGGCCTGGCCCTGAGGGTCACCAGGATAGCGAGACTTTGGGATGATCTCCATGGCCATAGCACCCTTGCCACCCTGGCCTGGCTGGTATCGCAAGATGCCGAAAGGGCGCTTCTTGAACTCCACAGACGCTCCAGGGCCAGTGGCCTGGCCGGCATCAAATGGCACATCCGAGTCCTTGGGTCCCAAACGTTCAAGGTACTCCGCGCTCACGCGAGCTGGCACTCGGCTCACGCGAGGGGCGCCCTGGGGTGCACCAACGAAGGCCACGCTGGCCGCGTAGATGGCGGCCACCACACCAACCACTGGCAAGAGCACAGGTCGGGCCATGACTCCAAAATGGGCGTAAGCCGAAGGGATAACGAGGGGTGCTCTTGAACCTGGCCTTACACAAGCAGGGAGTGCCCAAGTCTTGTAGATCATTCTGGATTCACAAGTAGCGGTTCAACAGTCATCAAACCAGATTAGGGCAATATGGAAGTTTGGGTGTTGATAAGGGGCCAACCGGGCTTGGTTGCGTGAGGTCAAAGCATCTAGCACATCTTTTCACTCGGAATGTTCTTTTCAGGATGCTCCGCTCGACTTGTTTGCACACAGTTGCGAGAACCTCTAATCAAACAGGAAATGTCTGTTCAACTGCTGGCAACGAGAGACTCCAATGGCCACAGCTCTCAGAACCACCTGCATTCCAAAGGCACCTGTTGGACAAGTTGATGAACGACAGCAACATAGGGAGAAACTTGATAAAATTCTTGAACAGAACAAATCCGACATCCTGTAGATACCATTGAAGAAAAGCAATAGCAGTATATTGAACTTGTGAGGACAGGAAAAATCAAAAACTACTAGTAATATCACACAAAAAAGTGAACATCGCAAATAAACTGATTATGAATATGTCTTCATATAATAATAGTTTGCATGATATTATAATATGTATATTATTATATGACTATTATCATCAATATGAAAACTGATACAGTTTTTGTTGTTTTCCTTATGTCCTCTGGACTTAAGACATCTTAAGACGTCTGAGCTTCTTCTCTACTTCAGGACAAGCCAACTAGACTTAACTTCTGGGCTTATGCTGCATCCGATCAGCCCCGGAAACGAAGCTCGATCCCAACTCCTGCCTGGCCAACTCTGGGTACCTTAAAGAGACAACCCTGCCACATGTCCATGAACAAGAACGACAGCAATCAAAAATTATTAGGATAATATATAATATAAAATAATATCACATAACCAACTTGGTTGTTACTTACTTATGCCATATTCTCTTCGAAACAACAGCAAACCAGTCAAACAAGTCCTAGAGAAAACAACTCTGTGATTCAGCTGGTCCAAGCGGCCTAGGCCAACACCACTCCTTTTCCAAGATTGCTTTCAAGAGAGTTCGGTCTCATGCCGTAGTGGCTTCACATTCAAAAGCTTTGCCGAAGTGAAAGCTTCAGGCGTCCGAAAAATAGAAAACAGATATGATATGCCCCTCAGGCCTGATTTAATGGTGACGGCTCAGTGGCTCAGCGAGCAAAGCCGTCCTGGCCATCCTCCTTCATTTCAGCGCCCTTGTAGACGTAGCCTGGGATGGAGTTGAACTGGACCGCAAGTGGTGCTGCAGCAGGCTCTGCAAGTCGTCCTCCCTGCTTCTCCAGTGCCAAAGCAGTCGACTTTGAGAAACGTGGGTCAGCCACCTCATCATCCAACAAGTCCATGATCTTGCCGAAGTCCTCAGTCAGCATGTTCTGGCCGTTGATGGAGGCCACCACCCAACCACTTTGCACACCGGAAGCAAAGGCCTGGCCCTGAGGGTCACCAGGATAGCGAGACTTTGGGATGATCTCCATGGCCATAGCACCCTTGCCACCCTGGCCTGGCTGGTATCGCAAGATGCCGGAAGGGCGCTTCTTGAACTCCACAGACGCTCCAGGGCCAGTGGCCTGGCCGGCATCAAATGGCACATCCGAGTCCTTGGGTCCCAAACGTTCAAGGTACTCCGCGCTCACGCGAGCTGGCACTCGGCTCACGCGAGGGGCGCCCTGGGGTGCACCAACGAAGGCCACGCTGGCCGCGTAGATGGCGGCCACCACACCAACCACTGGCAAGAGCACAGGTCGGGCCATGACTCCAAAATGGGCGTAAGCCGAAGGGATAACGAGGGGTGCTCTTGAACCTTGCCCACGAGATGTGCAGCAGCAGAAAGCTTAGCACGTATATAAATCCTGAATCCACTCACAATTCTTTTTCCTACATCTTCCTAGTACATGAGCACTGTTGGTTTTCCCTTGCTTGGAACCTCAAGCAGCTTCTCTTCAGCGTTTGATAAAAAAAGGTGCGAAAAGGAACACTGCAATATACGGCAATGGAAAGAAGCCAATAGACAAGTAGCTTCCTATGTTTTCTTTCTTCACCCCAAATGCCTGGCCCAACTCAGCTATTTTTCCAAAATTGCTTTCAAGAGAGTTCGGTCTCATGCCGTAGTGGCTTCACATTCAAAAGGTTTGCCGAAGTGAAAGCTTCAGGCGTCCGAAAAACAGAAAACAGATATGATATGCCCCTCAGGCCTGATTTAATGGTGACGGCTCAGTGGCTCAGCGAGCAAAGCCGTCCTGGCCATCCTCCTTCATTTCAGCGCCCTTGTAGACGTAGCCTGGGATGGAGTTGAACTGGACCGCAAGTGGTGCTGCAGCAGGCTCTGCAAGTCGTCCTCCCTGCTTCTCCAGTGCCAAAGCAGTCGACTTTGAGAAACGTGGGTCAGCCACCTCATCATCCAACAAGTCCATGATCTTGCCGAAGTCCTCAGTCAGCATGTTCTGGCCGTTGATGGAGGCCACCACCCAACCACTTTGCACACCGGAAGCAAAGGCCTGGCCCTGAGGGTCACCAGGATAGCGAGACTTTGGGATGATCTCCATGGCCATAGCACCCTTGCCACCCTGGCCTGGCTGGTATCGCAAGATGCCGAAAGGGCGCTTCTTGAACTCCACAGACGCTCCAGGGCCAGTGGCCTGGCCGGCATCAAATGGCACATCCGAGTCCTTGGGTCCCAAACGTTCAAGGTACTCCGCGCTCACGCGAGCTGGCACTCGGCTCACGCGAGGGGCGCCCTGGGGTGCACCAACGAAGGCCACGCTGGCCGCGTAGATGGCGGCCACCACACCAACCACTGGCAAGAGCACAGGTCGGGCCATGACTCCAAAATGGGCGTAAGCCGAAGGGATAACGAGGGGTGCTCTTGAACCTTGCCCACGAGATGTGCAGCAGCAGAAAGCTTAGCACGTATATAAATCCTGAATCCACTCACAATTCTTTTTCCTACATCTTCCTAGTACATGAGCACTTTTGGTTTTCCCTTGCTTGGAATCTCAAGCAGCTTCTCTTCAGCGTTTGATAAAAAAAGGTGCGAAAAGGAACACTGCAATATACGGCAATGGAAAGAAGCCAATAGACAAGTAGCTTCCTATGTGTTCTTTCTTCACCCCAACTGCCTGGCCCAACTCAGCTATTTTTCCAAAATTGCTTTCAAGAGAGTTCGGTCTCATGCCGTAGTGGCTTCACATTCAAAAGGTTTGCCGAAGTGAAAGCTTCAGGCGTCCGAAAAACAGAAAACAGATATGATATGCCCCTCAGGCCTGATTTAATGGTGACGGCTCAGTGGCTCAGCGAGCAAAGCCGTCCTGGCCATCCTCCTTCATTTCAGCGCCCTTGTAGACGTAGCCTGGGATGGAGTTGAACTGGACCGCAAGTGGTGCTGCAGCAGGCTCTGCAAGTCGTCCTCCCTGCTTCTCCAGTGCCAAAGCAGTCGACTTTGAGAAACGTGGGTCAGCCACCTCATCATCCAACAAGTCCATGATCTTGCCGAAGTCCTCAGTCAGCATGTTCTGGCCGTTGATGGAGGCCACCACCCAACCACTTTGCACACCGGAAGCAAAGGCCTGGCCCTGAGGGTCACCAGGATAGCGAGACTTTGGGATGATCTCCATGGCCATAGCACCCTTGCCACCCTGGCCTGGCTGGTATCGCAAGATGCCGAAAGGGCGCTTCTTGAACTCCACAGACGCTCCAGGGCCAGTGGCCTGGCCGGCATCAAATGGCACATCCGAGTCCTTGGGTCCCAAACGTTCAAGGTACTCCGCGCTCACGCGAGCTGGCACTCGGCTCACGCGAGGGGCGCCCTGGGGTGCACCAACGAAGGCCACGCTGGCCGCGTAGATGGCGGCCACCACACCAACCACTGGCAAGAGCACAGGTCGGGCCATGACTCCAAAATGGGCGTAAGCCGAAGGGATAACGAGGGGTGCTCTTGAACCTTGCCCACGAGATGTGCAGCAGCAGAAAGCTTAGCACGTATATAAATCCTGAATCCACTCACAATTCTTTTTCCTACATCTTCCTACTATATGCGTTATATGAGCACTGTTGACTTTCCCTTTATTTCAGAAGCATGATTTCTTGCTGCTGCAATGCCTGTCATTGCTGACCTTGGATTCCCACCCTCTCGGAGGTTTGCAGGCATGGCCGTACCTGGCAAGTGACAGAACTTGGCAAACGTCAACATCAAGGGCAGGGATAGGATAGGTCACTACCTTTGCCTTGAGCAGATGAAACCATATGAAACCCGTGCATCTTTTGAAAGACAATCGGGGAATCTGATCTTCTTCAATGCGCCGAGCTTCAGATGCTTCAGCGTTGCTCCCACTCGCTCCCACTTGACCCCATCCGCCTCCATCGATATGATCTCCACGGTGGCAACGGCCATGGAACTTCTGCTTCTAAAATTGACAGAAAACCATGTTTTGAACTTTTGTTCCGTCCAAATATCGAGGTTTCTAGCAAATGCTTCAAGAAATTCTGCGAGACTGGGTTGACATGTGCCAGGCCAAAGCCTTGAACCACAAAATAGTTCAATCCCGGAAGTTCCTCTCATCTCCTGGATGTTGCACCCGTAGAGCAGCCCCAGCCTCATTCCGACTCAACTTGCCCCTCCCGTTCCTCCCACCCCATGTCCGCACCTTGCGCCCTTTGCCTAGGTCCATGCCTGAAGAATCACAAAATTCGAAGAAAACAACAGAGAAGGCAATGCAGTTTTGTTCGGTGTGTTGGAACCAACTCATCCAAAATTCAGAGGTCAATCAATAAGTTGTCACTTCAAACGATAGGCAGGGCCCATTCTTCAGTATATGGGACACACTAATTCACAGCATCATCGGCAAATGTTGAACGCGGTGCCACTTTCTGCTATCTCCAAATAGAACAAAACTGCAGAAAATCGAATGCATGACTCGTGTCCTGCACATCAAATAGAAAAAACACATAAATCACATAAATATACTATCCTCTATCCTCCCAAAGGCTTGGAAAATCAAGCCGATGCCGGGACTCGAACCGGGTGGCGGTGGTACCTGCAGCAAACATCAACCATCATCAACCCGAACGCCAAGTTTCTAAAATCATCTAAAGTCTCAATTATCTCCAATTGTCTCAATTTCTGACCACATGTTCTCAGAACATCGAAATGTGTCATGTTTGGCCCAAAAAAGAGGGGGAATCACCACCGGCTCCGCACGCCTCATTCCCCCGATAGGCATAGGGATCATAGCGCGGGGCCTCCGGTGGCGGATGCCCCGGATGCCCCGGATGCCCCGGATGCGGAGGCCAGGCCTTGGAGATGGCTTTGCGCAGAGGTAAGCTACCCATGATCTAACTCTTGATAGAAATCCAAAACCCGAATCCAAAAAATTGTGGTTTGAGTTTGACCTTCAAGAATTACTGATGATCCAAAACGAGAAACCGCTAAAAATCATCTTGAATATCCTAATTGAAAGCCATAGTTGCTATCTAGGATTTCCCAAAGACATTCAAAGGCCGTTAAAGACCCCATCAGGCACCGGGCCGGGCGCAGCATGTAGCCAGGCGGATGAGGTGGGCCAGGATGGCCTGTCTTGTTTGATGGGTAAGGCTCTCATGGGTATTGGATGGTAGAAAGGACTTTGAAAGATTGCAATTGTAATGAGATTTGTCTGATGAATCTCTCGAAACTTCAAAGCCGCCAAACTTTCCCAGGAAGCCCCACTCATCCCAATCTTTCCCTCAGGTATGGATTTTGATGCAGTACCGGCTCTACGCCATCTGTAGGAGCCTATGTATACACTCGGCTGGACAGCAGTCCAACGATGCTTGCATCACTGCAGTAGCTTCCGTAAATCACTAGACTACGCCTACGCACCATGTATCCCTGAATTGAAATCGAAAGTGTGCAGACTCTCAGCCATGAGCCTACTGATTTGCCTGAGCTGAGTTCTGATGAATTGCTTGTCTTCCGGTTCCTCAAACTCTTCGCTGAAATCCTCCCGATCAGATCAATGTCGCACCGGCGAAATTTCGCAGCTTGCCAGTCGCGCTGTCCACACTCCTGTTTTCACAGCATTCACCTTCAGAGCCCGCAGAACTAGCCTGCACCCAGTTCCTGGTTCTCGATGGAAGGGCTCTCAAGCATGCTGTTCTCGCATCATCCCCTGGATTTGCAAAGACTAGCACGTGACCACCACCCGCTCTCATTGCTGCCGCCCACAATTTGTATGTGTCTCAAGACAAGTCAGGCGCAGCAATCCCCAATCCACTTTGCTAAGCCCACTTGTCAGCTGCCACATGCACAAGCCTAGCCGCAAAGCATGGGTCAAGCTGCCGACACAACCTAGCCTGCGACTCACTGTAGCACCATTCCGGCGCCTGCTGCAGCAAGCACACCAAAAATCTGCCGGACAGTATGGATGAATAAGAGCAGAGCCTCTCAGACTGCGCCGTCAGTGCAGCCAGTGTAAACGCGTGTCCTCTAAGCACATAGAAGCAAGAACCATGGTTGCTGCTCTGTTGCCAACTCTTGTTTAGCCGATGGGGCGAAAAACATGTCCAAACACCGCTTGTTCATGTCTTAGCTGGCCAAAGTCCAAAAAGAATAACTGGCGCATCTGCTCATCAAGTTTCAAGACATTACGTGCCAACAAGTCTCCAAATCTTTGGCAAAGACAGAACGCAGCTGGACTACACATCCATCACTGTGTAACCGGCTTTTTTTCAGCTCTGCTATGGACGGCGGCTTGGAGAGAAATGGCCCCGGGTCGAGAGAGTTTCCCCTGGAGATTTCTGTGACCTGTGGTCTTGGTGGTTGATGATGGTC